ATTGTTTTGGAGACGATCTGTGATCCATTGTCTGAGAAAAGTACTCTAGCATAGCCGAAACGTGAGAAGAACTCTCTTTCTAGAGTGTCGGTAATTGTCTTAGCGGTGGCTTGCCCTAGGGGGTATGCTTCTATCCATCTACTGTAGCAGTCTGTTGCTACAAGTAGGCAAGTATTACCGTGTTGATATCTTGGGTATGACTCCATGCGATCAATACTAACAACCTCCTATGGTTGGCGGGGCTGTCTTGGTCGCATTGGGTCATCATGCTTCCGGTTCAACGGTTTAACGTAAGATCAAACGTGACACCTTGCGACATATTGACGTACTATCTCTCTCATACCGTTCCAGAAGAAACGATTACCAATGCTCCGGTAAGTTTCTTTCCATCCTGGAAGTCCAGCAGAAACATGATCATGATACCTCCATAGCAGGTGATCTGACATGTCCAAAGGAACGACGATAATCTTTCCGTCCGTTCCGTTATTTACCAGGACTTTTAGTAAAATACCATTTTACAAGTAGTATTCCTGTTGTAAGCGCCGGTAAATTGAGTTGTCACTCCGGAGTTTCCGGACATACTGGGCCAAAGTTGCATCTTCGGCTTGCCAGGTTCTAATGTCGGAGATAGCGATATTCTCCAGATAATTATCCTTTTTTTTAGCCCCTAATTGACTTTGTTCAGATAAATCTCCGGTCAATGGTGGATCATGGTAGTTTCTTTCTAGTTGCTCTTCATTTACCGGAGTTTTCTCCACGGGGCTTCTTGATAGGGCGTCTGCTGCTTGATTTTCAACTCCAGGCACGTGCTGAATATTAAAGTCGAACGCTCCCAGCTGTAACGCCCAGCGGGTCAACTTACTGTTGGTGTCCCGCGTGTGGTGTAAACACTTAAGAGCTATGCTGTCCGTGAGCAAAGTAAATTTTCCGTCTAGGTATGGTCGGAAGCGATCAACAATCCATGCAATGTGACACGGCACAGCCTTTTGCTCTAGACTGGCGCTCACCCGTATCTCTCTTGATATCAGCCGTCCAGTTATTAATATGACAATCGGTTGTCTCCCCGCCTTTGACACTGAGATAAGGCCGCCGCCGAATATGGATTACTGATATTGCGTTCTGTTCTGTTTCCGACGTACACCGTAACTGGTTTTTGCAGTGCACGAGTTTTTTCCATTTTAACGCTGATTGTGAAATAATATATATAGCAGTTATTTTAATTACTGTTTTGTGCGGAACTGTACTCTTAATTATTAAAAAAATATAGAAATATATATATATATACTTTTATTTGAAAAGTGTAATCTACCTATAGAAATATAATATTCCTTACACCAGTCGGTATTATTCGATTTACGCGCTACAAATAATCGTAGTCTTATCATTTTGTGTGGTGTTCACCCGTACACTTGGATACGCATTAAATAGTTAGACACTCACGTTCTACGGCTGAATACCGTGTCTGAGCGGGAGAAAGTTTTCGGCTGGCATATGAGATAATCCTTCTCTGGCCGGTTTATTCCCGCTGAAATAGTACGGCACCGACTCCTATTTCACTTGCGTCCATTTGAACATAAAACGGTTGTCCTTGAAGTGGGAGACAGAGTCGGGGCGCAGAGACAAGTGCTTCTTTAAGCTTTTGGAAAGCGTCTTGCTCTTGCAATGTCCATCGCCACTTAATTCCATGTGCCAAAAGATTAGTCAGCGGAGCGGTAAGTTCGGTGTATTTCGAAACGAACTGACTGTACCAACCGCATATTCCGAGGAACTTCTGTAATCTTTCTTCGGTACGGAGAATTCGGCGATTGCAGTTAGTTTCTCCGGTTCCCGGTCAATTCCCGTCGAATCAACTATGTGTCCGAGGAAATTTATAAGGTATACACCGAAACTACATTTTTTCGGTTGACATGTCAACCCACGTGTTTGTAACCGTTCCAAGACTTGTTGTATGTAGTTGAGGTGTTTCTTCATATTCACTGAGTACACTAAGATATCGTCTAAGTACACAAACACAAATTTACCGACATATCCACGCATAACCTCGTTTACCAACCGTTGAAAAGTAGCCGGGGCGTTTTGAAGTCCAAAAGGCATTACTTTAAATTGGTAGAGGCCCATTTGAGTGCGGAATGCGGTGAGTGGTCTTGACTTCTGATTCAAACTGACCTGCCAATAGCCAGACTTAAGGTCGATGGTGCTGAAGACGTTAAGCACCACCCATTCCACGGACCATTTCGTGTAAGACAGGCATTGGTTTATGTTTATCAATCTCACTTAATTAAAAAAATAAAAGATTTCATGCCAAATATAAAAAAAATTCACTACTTTTCTGACGGAGCTAGCAGCCAATATAAAAATTATAAAAATATGGCCAATCTATGTTATCACACTGTTGTGGTCAGGTGATAGTTTAATATTGAATAATGAATAACAACACCGTGTTTAACTTTTACTTTATAATATATTTTAACTTATTATACATAAGAACATAAAAAACAATATCAGTTCCAGAAGGAAGTTACTATAGTCACAATGTGTTGTTATAATAATAAAATGATATGCTTGTTGCATCACCAGACCGGTTCTCCTCACCCGCGGTCACTCGGCGTCGCGACGCCAATCGTCCAATCGGACGAGGAGAGGTAGCTGTGTCGCAGTCGCCATCCAGCGGTAAAGCCGGAAGTGCAATGCGACCGCGTCAACACAGCAGAAGCAGAATGGAATTTTTTTGCGACCGCACACGGTAAGAGTCCATGCGATGGTATAGGTGGTACAGTTAAGCGATTGGTCTATAAAGCTAGTTTGCAAAGAACTTCGAATAATCATATTCTTACGCCAAGAGCAATGTTTGATTATTGTAAATTAAATATAAAAGGAATTGAGTTCTTATATATAACTGCTTTAGAGGTACTTTCACTTGAACAACACTTAGGTGAGTGCTATAAAACTGCAAAAAAATGTTCTGCTATTCGTCAACATCACAGTTTTATACCTGAAAATGGAAATTCTCTGAATTATAAGATAACTTCAAAGTCCACCAAATCCAATACTATAAAAATTTTGTAAATTATAAGAACAAAATAATTAGGTATAATATAAACAAAAATAAAACTTATATGTATGTATAAATAGAATTAAATTATATTTTAGAATAAATTAAAATGAAATATATAATAAAAATTATTCTCTATTACACTAAAAAATATAACACATTTTATTATACTTTTAGAATAATAAAATTATCTAAAATACAAAATATTTGATAAAATTACGATTTTAAAAATAGTTGCTTACAATGGTATGTAGTATTTTATTTTCGTGCAGAATAAATGCAAAAAATAAAAATAAAATGTTAAAAATTACGTAGTTTGTGAATTTTCCATAATACGCAAATTGTAAATTTTGTAAGTTCTATAAGTGGCGTTAAAATTATTTCTCCATCATCTAATTTTCACCAGACGTTTTAATTGCCTAAAGGTAAGTACTCTGTAAATTTGAAAAAAATTCGTTCAGTCAATTTTGTGTAATGAGATGATAAATTTGGCTATTTTCAGCAACCCACGCGTGTTCAAGACCGTAAAACGATACAAAAAAAATTATAAACCAATTCAAATATGATATGGGTTAAAAGAACATAACTTAAAATTTCTAAAAAGAAAAAAAAAATTTTAATTAAAAATTTTTTTTCAAATTTTGCTATTAAAATACTGCAAAATTTAAAAAATTTAAATCAAAATTTCGATGTTCAAAAAAATTCAAAATTCATAAACTTAAGAATGAATTTGAAGTACTATTTAATATGAGTAAAACAGTGCTAGTACCACAATGATAGCTTATTTGGATGTGAAGTTATAGGCTCTAGAGCATAGGCTGTTTTTTCATGTTTTTAATTATAAAAAATGCGCTATCTGGTAAAAAAATAATAATAAAAAAAAAAATTTATTTTTGTTATCAATGACCTTTAAGAAGTCTATGATATAAATTTCATAAATTTCTGAACTATACCAGCACACACGTTAGGTGATTTCACATGGAATGACCCCAATGTCGTTGCGCACTAGATCATCCCCTATATTTGCTTTTTAACAAGTCTCTATCTGATGACGTTTTCCTACATTTATAGAAATCAAGTTTTGTGCTACCAATTTTTAAAACAAACAATCGGGCTTCTGTGAATAATTATCGTCCTATATCTAAATTAAGTGCAGTATTTAAACTTTTTGAAAAATTAATAGAACCCAAACTTTCTAAATTATTTTATCAAATACTAATAGATGAGCAGCACGGTTTTCGATCTCAAAAATCGACGTCAACTAATTTATTAATATACTATACAGAAGTACTTAATGTCGTTGAAAACCATGGACAAGTAGACGCCATCTATACAGACCTTAGTAAAGCATTCGACTCAGTTAATCACAAAATTTTTTAGTATTAATAGTCAGTTACTTTCCTGGTTTAGCTCCTATCTAACTGGAATGACATAACAAGTAATAGTTTCAGATAAAATTTCGTCTCCTTTCATCTTCAGGTGTCCCGTAAAGAGGGCACTTGTCACCATTGCTATTCTTATTATTTATAAACGATGTTAAACATATATTCAACTTTTGTACATTTTCGCTGTTGGCCGATGACTTGAAAATGTATATCAAGATTAACTCTGTTAATGACCAAGAAAAATTACAGTCAGATCTTGTAAAATTTTCAAATTGGTGTACCATAAATAAATTAAAAATTAATATTGATAAATGCGCTGTAATATCGTTTTCCAGACGTAAAAACCCTATAATTTATAATTATACCTTAGATGGACATACAATAAAGTTAGTTTCTTCTATTAAAGATAGTTACAGTTTTATTGAATATTCAAGAAACGTGTAATATTTTTTTATAAATACATACTTTATTATCATTTTATATACATATATATATATCATTGTATACAATATTCATATAAATAAACTTTATATCGTAACTCGAAGTTTGATATTTTCGTCCGTTAGAAACAAGTTTCAGATCTTCGTCGAACCCTTTTGCCAAATTTGAATCAGTTTAAATTGCAAATTTTATCAAAAAACGAATGCGACGAACGCTTGCCGATTCATTAAAAATCATTGCCTGTGGCAATGATTATCTGCAATTTTTTCTTAATTCTATTTGATTTAGAATTTTGCTTTAAAATAATCCACCAATTTCTTAAAATTAAACCTGTCTACAGATTTTCATCGAAGCATTACTTATGATAGTGATTCTAATCACTGTCAGATATTATCTATACTAGTTTCAACTATACCACACTCACACTGTGCTACCGTTTTTATTATATTGAATACCATTATGTACTTATGATGAATGCAATAAAATAAACTATGAATAACTCTCTACTATTCATAGAATAACAGTACCCTTATTATCACATTGTCAAATTGTAATTGGCCCTAAAGATATAGAATAGGCATCTAAAAATGATAATCTAGTAGCAAAGTTTAGCTCAATAGTTGATTTCGTTACTCAAATCTCAATTTTCTACTGTTGTTGTAAAGTTTCATGAATTATATGGACATGCTGGAGCAGAGAAATGTTTGAGTGATCTTAAAGAATTTTGTATTTTTAATAACATGGATAGAATTGTTCGTAAATTATTGTCAACCTGTGATATATATCAGCGGACTAAGCCTTCTAATCAGTGAGTGAAAGGCCTTATGCATCATACCATGTCGGAAAATATATTGGATAAAGTACGAGTTGATATTTATAGGCCACTTCCCGTTGGTTGGAATAGAGTGCAGTATATTTTATGGTGTTAGATAATTTTAATAATAATAATAATACTGTCCATGAGTCAACTGGATTCACATCATCTAGTTTATTCAACGATCAAGAGACACCCCTTGTAACCAATGTGATTGAACTTCCTCCATATTCGACATTACCTCAAGAGCGGAAACTTATTATGGGTCGCAAAGTTCAATGTTCGAAAGCTTAACAGCGTAAGCAGCGACATGGTCGTAAAGGCATCGCGGTATCATTCGGTACTGGCAATAAAGTTCTTGGGTGAACCCATAAACTCAGTTCTGGTGTTAACAAGCTGATTAGAAAATTCTTTTGAAACATGTGAAGCAAACTAATTCTTATTCTTATAAATTCAAACTAATTCTATGTATATTACATTGTCCAGCGTGGGATAAATTTATTTTATTATTTTTGTTTCTATAAATTCCTATTGACGTTAACCCCTCTCAAAGGCTCAAGACTTTTAGGCACCTCGGTCGGTTTGACCGTTTCGTTACGACGGTTGTCGAGGAATAGCCATAGTCGGAACTGGTCGTACTATTTCCCGTCCGTAGCGGTAGTTTTTTTTTTGGTTGGATGGAGACACAGCTACCTCTCTTTGTCATACATACAGTGATGCCAATGACCGCGAGTGATACGTACCCATCCGGCGATGAATTTTGCACTTTTACTCTCTACCGAAATACATAATATATCGATACTTTTACATCTTATCGTTATTTTCTTGTTAATATAATCGCGAATATTAAATAATTATTATACTTAACGTTGGCGTATTATTTATTTAAAATATATCTAAGAATCCAATTATTCTACTGGCAATGTGATATGAATAGTGATACGCTCTTAAACCCGTGGTGTCCCAATGCCTTTCAAGTAATGAACAAACTACAAACAAATAGTTCGACAGCTTGGGGCATACGGTCGGCTAGAAAAGTAGTACCACAATAATGGCTTTTGTTTAAATATTATATCCGTTATGTTTCTCATTTAAATAATACATAATTAGAATAGTATATTAATATTTATATAAAAACATACAAAAACATATTACTTAACATTCGTTATCAGTTTTCTTAATGAAAGTATATAAATTGATCAAAATAAAATTCAAAAATTAAAACATTAGGAGGGCATCAGTAAATTTGCCAATTTTGTCATAATTTCTACCTCTTTAACCTTATTGGTAAGATGTTCTATTACTTGCTCTTGAGATTTAATAATACTATTCATGAAACGTTCATGAGACAGAGATACTTTTTTTGTATATTCAATTATTCTTGCTGAATACTGACAGTCTCCAACTTTAAACGTGCAAATATTATTTGTTAATAAATTTAACATTAAATCATCCACAAATTGTTGACACTTATTTATCTCATACTTAACAACTCTTAATTTGACATTTAAATGTTTTTCTAAAGTTGAGATATTTTTTAATTTTTTAACTTGCCTGTAAAATTAAAAAATATGTTAATATTAAAATGTCAAGTGGGTGATCCTAAAAATACCTGAAGTATTCCTTGTTGAATTTAGCTTTAAAGCTGGACAAAACTTCAATATTATCGATCAAATATTTCATGATAACTGGATAATTCGATGGTACTTTACAATTCATACAAATCGACGTTGAACGTAAAGACATCAAAGTAGAGATGAACGATGGAATAGAAGTCGATGGTGAATGATTTTGAAAAAGATTCAATTTGGAAATCGAAATTTCTATTGAGTTACATTCGCATGAGCCTCTATACCCATGAAAACACTCAAACCAATTACTAATTCCCAAAACCTCATAGTTCTGACTGACATATGCAAAAAAGTATTTTTGATCACACTGGATGAATGGTTTAAAGATACACACTTCACATTCAGTTCCAGTATAATCCTGTGATAAAACAACGCTAGCTACCATTTGAGATATTGAACAGAAATCGTACGGTAACACAATAATCATGTCTTGATATGACTTTGCTAAAAAATCAGGCACGAAATATTGACAATGTAAATTTTTGTCAATATCGTAACGATTTGCACATTTTATTTTCACCCAATTTCGCATCAAATACTAAAAAATTTAATTTGAATTATTTAATAGGTTAAATAATAAACTAACAAATCGTATTTACAAATAACATATATATTGGTAATCCAAATTTACATGGTTGGACTATTCATACATATTATTAATACGATACGATTTTTTTATTACTTGTAACTTAATCACTAAATTCCATTATTACGAATTAAATATAATAAATTATAGTTAATAATTCAACTTAACAAATTATAAAACGTAGCACCTGTTCTTCCAAATTACTTGTTTATCAAATTATTTGATTTTACAGACAGAAATTATAGTTTAAAAATTATGAAATACATTTAATTATATATTAACTAATAATAGCAATTAAAAAGGTTCATTATTACTATAGCAATTATTAATTAAATATTAGGTAAAATAAAAACAAATACTATTATGAAATGTTTATTTAACATACATAATATATATTTACCCGAATATTGTGAAACATCATCTTCATTTTCACCTAAGTGGATTTTTCAATAAACAAAATTGTCGAATTTGGGAAATTGAAAAATCAAATGCAATTATGAAAAAACAAATGCATCCACAGCAAGTAACCATTGTGTGGTTGTCATAATTTTTTTTTACATTATGTGTTAATAGTGGAGTACCTTTCAGTTTAATAAAATGTTATAATTATATTTAAATGGTGTTATGTTTAATTTTTAATAATGAATACTCCAATAACCTTGCATTACTGACATTAATTTACTATTACTTATGTATTTTATAATATAAAAGGAGACATGATCATCGTTATAAGGAATCAGTACTCACCGGTGAATATTACACTGTATTATTTACTTAGATTCTTCCTGTTGATACTTATCCAAGTAGTTGCAAGTAGGCGTAGAACACCAAACATCGTTATGACTTTAAGGCAGGTGTAGTAATTGGACTATATTTTTTTGATGATAAACATAGAAATGTAGAAAAAGTGATTGAAGATTGTTATCCAAACATAATTTTTAATTTTCTTTAGCCTATTCTGGACGCTAAAGAAATATGGTTCCAGCAAGTGAGTTTTGATTGTCACTATTTTAGTACAATTGAATTGTTTCGTAAAAAATTTGATGACTGACGAATTCTGTAGTGATTAGAAGTAGCCACTAAGATCGTTTAATTGAACTTCTTCCTTTGGAGCATCATTAAGATCACTATCTTATATAATTTAATATAGTAATTCATTAAAAATATAAGGAAAGTATTCTCAATTATTTTCACGAAAATAGGCGATATTTGCTAGATAAGTAGTCGAATTCTTTAGCAATAAAATAACAATTTATGTATTACTAATGGTTTCATAATTTTAAACCTTAATATACACTCATTCAATAAACGTGAGGAATTACTACCCCATAACTCAAGCCGAAAATCCTTAGAACGTTCATAATATTATATTATAATATTCATTTATATTATAAATTATAAATTATTCATAATATTGCAAAAAAAAGTCAATGGCCATTGGCCTTGGTTTTCCTGGCTTGACCATACACATGCGCGTCGTCGTAATAAATAAGAAAAAGGACTGTTTGGTTTTAATACTAAATATTACCAGTAGCGGTTCGTTCTTAAATGCACGCAGACGAAAGCGCAACACATGCCATTTAATCAAACTATTTTTTATTTTTTTTTTAAACCTAATCTTTATTAATTGTTCAATAAGAATTTCGGCGTGCTATTAAAAAAAAAAATTGATAAAGAACTATTATGTTCGGTGGTCAGCCTATTGATTTAGCCCCGTGTCATTTCTTTTTGTGGTGCTAGTTCTCTAGTTTATACCGAATGTCCAAATTTCTTGGCTCAACTGAAGAGCAATAACCAAGCTGTTATTGACAACACACCCGTTCATAAGCTGGTAAGAGTGAATAGAAACTTCAAAACTTGATTATCTCAATGTTTTGATCAAAACGGAAGCCACCATAATGATTTTTAAAACTTGAATGAAAAAAGACTTTGATTGGAAAAATTTAAACTAATATAATAATAATAATCTCTAAATATAATAATCTCAAATATTATTTGTGTAATTCACTTTTAAAATAAGGCAATTACCCTGTCACACCTTTACATGTATATATATTTTCCCCGTTATAAGAAATTAGAAATTCTTTATTAGAAATAAGAAATTCTTTCCTCTTAAAATTAACACGTTTAAAAAAAAAAATTAAATAATGCAGTAGAATATCTTTGAAAAAAAAAACTCCATTTATACAAACGAAGAAAAACTTCAAATTAAAACATTAGGAAAACTTGTTTAGGGATTAAAATTTAATGTTACAAAACAAAAATCGTGTTATACACACATTATTTTACCAATGACTATTATCTTAAATATATTTTGCTTTGCAGATGTAATGCGATAGAAATGTTGTTTTTTGTTCACAGTGTCTTGGCAAAGAAATCTCATGAACAAAAACTGGAATAACAGATTTTAATCAGTTAAATAAAAGGATGAAAAAACATGATTCTATTAAATACACTATGTTAAAAACTAAACTACAAATAATTTATAGCAAATCTAAGATTATAAATTTATCTGGATCTCTTTCTTTACTAGCGTTTTTAAAATCTGAAACCTTACTCATATATTCTCTGAATATAAGAAACATTTTTACAATAAAAACTTTTTACGTAATACTTAAAACAAGTATTTCTGATTTAAATAATAATGGTATAGATGTTTATGCCAAATCTAAAAAGAAGACTCGATTTTATATACAAAACTAATTAACTAAAAACTTAAATTATAATTAAGTTATTATAAATAATTAACATATTAATAAGATATATTTATTTAAAACAGTAAAATCATGTTTACATCATAGTAAATGCTTAATAATTATTATTTTATCCTATGATTAACACCCATACTTATTACGATTGTTCTCATCATTTATGGATACCTCTACTCCTACTCTCCACTAATTTGACCATCATTGCTATCATCATTGATGGGATAAAGAATGATTTTAATAAATTAACTAATGAATTTCTTTTAAAATAATAATTTTGTTAAGAAAGTTAATTATAGTATTTTGAATTTTATATATTCCTCAATTTATTAATTTAACCCTCATACCATATAAGAGTATCAACTTAATTTGTTCAAATAGTAAAATAAATATTTAACTAACTTAAAAAATAAAAAATAATCTGATTGGGAGATTTACTGGTTGATAATAACTTATTAACTAATATTTCTGAATTTATTAACATTTTAAAATATAGTGTAGAGAAAAAGCGAGGAGAGTAATATTATAAAATGATTAAAAAAAAAACATAACCCACACCGTACCTCCAATTTACATTTTAAAATAGTTAAAACTTTATAAATAATAGGTCAAAACTTATATCAACGATTCATTTTCTTAATTAGATCATTTTTTATTTCATTAGCTAGTTAAATTTGCCATTTAAAAAAATCAAGTTGACATCCTCTATCGTTATTAAAGCATTAATTTTTTTAATTTAGATTGTTAAGACATATTTTAAACATAAATATTATGAAAACAGTATATTGTTTAATATGACAACAATTATTTTTCTATACAATGTAATGAGGGGTGGATATGCCACATTTAATTTGAGCAAATTAAAAGGCATTGTTAATAATTTATTACATCCAATAAGTTATATATATATATATATATATATACAGGGTGATTTTTTTATCATAACCCACTCAATTACTTGCAGAATAATAATAATTTAAACATTTTTTTTTTTTATTATCTTTAGTTACACATTATTCTTGAATTTTTAACTATGTAATACTTTTTAAGTTCATCCCTTATGCCTTGGAGGGGGGTCAACTTTGTTTTTTTAAATGGTAACACATATTTTTAATTTAATAAAATGTTTGAGTTTTTAATTTAATAGTAAATGGCGTTTGAATTTTTAATGAAACTTAATTTGTTTATTAGATATAAACATTTAAAGTTTCAATTTTTTGAGTTAATAACATGTATAATACACTAGGGATTAAAATTACAGGTAGCTAATTGGTTTTTTATGACATTGATATTAGCAGGTACAAAACATTGTTATTATCAATGGTAGTAAGACACATTGTTGTGAGTTTATAAATACACTAACTGACAATACAGAAAGTATATCTATTGATAATCATAATTGATAATAAACAATCCGTGACTGAGACAGCAATGTCATAAAAATCCAATTAGCTACCTGTATTTACAATCCCATGTGTATTATACATGTATATTAACTCAAAATTTTGAAACTTTAAATGTTTATATCTAATAAGCTAATAAAGTTATATTAAAAATTCAAACGCCATTTACTATTAAATTAAAAACTCAAACATTTTATTAAATTAAAAATATGTGTTACCATTTAAAAAAACAAAGTTGACCCCCCTCCAAGGCATAAGGGATGAACTTAAAAAGTATTACATAGTTAAAAATTCAAGAATAATGTGTAACTAAAAATAATAAAAAAAAAAATTTTTTAAATTATTATTATTCTATAAGTAATTGAGTGGGTTATGATAAAAAAATCACCCTGTATATATAAAATTTAAAATTCCATTAAAATAATTGAATTAACATTCAATTAATCATTGGAAATAGTATCATAAGAAATATCTCATGTATATAAAATACGTATCATTTTTTGAATAATTATTGCAACACATAGTCTTGAGCAAAATAACAAAAGTACTAATGTAGTTTTAACAAAAGAATTATCAATTTTGATAGTGAAATTTAATACAATGATTTTATTACAAAATACTCAATATTACAAATAAAAAACAATATTATTAATAAAATTCAAGCCAGCAAAATCTCAACAGGTTAACACTATTATAAAACCACAGTAAGTTATTTATATGTATAACAACTTATGTAACAATATACTGTATCAACAAACAGTAATTCAAGAAGTTTTGTATTTGTGGCATGACTTCTTGAACATGCTAACATAATACAACCAACTTCAGTTCAAATAATAGCAATGTACAAATACACTTGCATTCAAAAACAATTCATTTTCTGTAAAAATTGATAGTAACTTTTGCACACTTGAAAATATTTATTACTTTAAAATACTGCAATAAAGAATTTTCATAATAAATTATAAAGTAATAGTCAGGTGTCATGATTTTCTATACATGCAAACTAAAAAGAATGCAATTTTTTAACATTTTATTCAAATTTTGTAATTTATATTAATAGTATTTTAATAGCGAATGTTGTAAATTGTAGCTTGAATTGTAGCATATATATATATATATATTGAAGTAAGATCATGATTAAATTAGTATTGTCATAATAAACAGAATACATAATAAATAAATACTAATGTTTTAAAACTAATATTAAAGATAGCTTTTAAAAGGAATGTGCTGCAACAATATATCTAAGAAAATCAAATCAAATATGATAGTTATATAAAATAATCTTAACATTTTAATAGAAAAAATCACTAATACTAGTACCAATATTAAAAATAATAATATATAATATATAACTGAAAAAATATAAATTGAAATATTTATAATTTATAAAGTAATTAAGACTATTATTTATTTTTATATAACTATTATTATATAAATTATAGTAAATTATTTATAATGAAAATAAATTAAAAAAGTTATTTTTTAATTAAAAACTGAATATTAAAAGGAAGACATAAACAAATTACCAATATTAAATACTAACAAAACAAAAAATTAATTTGATTTTTAATTGTATTGTTAATGAAATAATAGTTATCTTGATAACAAAAACTCACTAAAAAACATAATACTTTTAATAAATATGAAGTCATGGTATTACCTTAATAAAATTTTGTAGAATATATCAATATACAAGTATTACTTATTATTTTAACTTAATAGATGTTTTAACCTTAAATTCTCTATATTTGTTAAACAATAACTATACATCAGGGAGAATGATTAAATATATATAAATATTATTTTAATTTATTATTAAATAATATATTTAGGTGACTTTAAATAACTATTTTATCTAAAGATATTAGATAAATATTAAACCACAGTTGGATTTATTATTTAGGGCTATGTACTGTAACTAACGTTCTACAAAATAAGTAAAATACCAATACCTCCTTCTTTCAACGTTTATAGCACTGATTAGTTAAAATAAAAGCATTTCATCTCCAACCATAAAGAAATATTAAATATTGAAGTAAACATGATGTTGCCATTACGACAGAAAAATGTAAAATACAACACGAGTCACATTTATAATATAATGGCGAAAATGAACGTGTTGTTAATAAGTAGATTAACAGTTATTGATAAACATATTCGGTAGATAATGGAATAGGCGAGAGAGATACGATTTTATCACTTTTTCCGCGGTTTGATAAAAATTCAGAATAAGTTATTAACTAATAAAATCTTATTATATAATAGAACAAAGAAAAAAACGCTATTTTAGAAAAATTATGAGCGAAGGTCGGAAAATTTTTGCCGCTCGCTGACACACATTCGAATAAATTTTGTTAGGTCTACTTTTTAACGCGTAAAAGATTGTACGAGTGAACCTTTTTCTAACATAGCGGTGTCATCAACTCATTATTTTTGCCGCTGACCGCTAGATAAAGTGACAAAAGAGAATAAATTTAATTAATAACGAATTGTTTATCGTTATTGATCCCTCCCAAAAAAACTGGCCGTTATCGATTTTAAATTGCCATTAGATCGGTGTTGGCTCTTGTAATAAACCAAAAAGAAAAGATAGATATAGATAGAAAGAAAATAAGTTTAGAAAGATAATTATTAGATAAAATGAAATGGAATGAATTTGAAGGCGGGAATTGAAATTTGTACTTACCTTGTATCCCACGTAATGTAATGCTTATTTTAGACAATCCAATGTTGATTATGAGTTCACACTGTATTTCACACGTTGTACACTACGAGTTCGACAGTAAATATGACCGTTTGAGAATAAAGCGTTTAATTATAAATAATGCGAAACAGTTACACAAAATCTATGACTGTATTATTATATGTAGGAGATTCTATACACTATATTTTTTTATAATTATAATCAAATAATGTATCTTTAGTTGACTTGTAGAATAAGTATATTATTTATGAGATTATATTTTATTGAGAGATCGACACCAATATTTCTTAAATTTTCCTCTGGCCTGGCCAAAACAAGATTCAGAAATATTTATATTTATGTAAAAGATTTGTCAAGGCGGAATTGTGGTGGCCCAATGTGTCCCGGTGCTAAAATAAAGCACCTTGAAAGGATGCGGCACAATAATCCCCAAGACAAAAATTAAACACTAAAACATATATTCGTAAGTTTCTCTGTGCTGTCTGCCGGCGCGATGTTCGTTAGAACAAAAACATTAAAACCAACAATGATTAGCTACACACTACACATAGACTTACAAATATATTCTAACCTAATACACCTAACTTTAAAAATCTTTAATTGCAACTATTAAGTTATATATACATTTATTCAGCAATTGAACAATTAAAAAAAAATAAACACAAATTAATAACAACTCATCAATGTGTAGATTATTTTAAAGAAACTAATTAAAAACTGTACGTATTTCTACGACCGCACTCACTGAACACTGGCACCTCTGGCTGACTAGTGTCTTCTCCTGGCGGTGAACATCCCCCCCCTTTATGTATAATTTAAATGATAACANTTACTACTGAAGATTCTTTCTCTAGTGATTGTTGTACACCTTGTACATAATTTATTCGACCAATATAAGCACCAACTTCTTCTGGTGAATTCATTGAGTGTTTTTCATTCATAAATGGAAATACAATATTATAATCAAAGATCAATTCCTCACTGGTTTTCACAAAAGTAACTGTGTCTTTCTCAGTAAATGTTTGACCAACCAACAAATCATATTCTTGTACATCATCATTAACAACATACAATTCTACCTCCTCTGATACTTGATCAATCTTTAACGTCGCCTTGGTCAATCCGCACACAAGATCCGCCTTGATGTTACCATAAACCATCAACTTACGGTCAGTCGGTTGTATTTCCAATTGATGAAGACTTGCCACACTTAATTTTATGATGCATATATCGCATCCAGTGTCAATCAATCCAGTTGCTGGTGTACTGTGATTATTAATTGAAATTGATTTAATATATTTAGTTTTACTTGGTTGAGTATTAATAAAACTAACTGTGGGTTGTTCTGTTTTAACTTGACAGTATTTCTTGGTATGGCCCTCCTTACCACAATTGGTACAGACCATAGGTCTCTTAGGGTTGGGGCAGTCTCGTCCAATATGTCCATAATTTGAACAGTTATAGCAGCGGATATTTCGCGAACGAGTAGTTGCATTCCCCATCTGATTTTCTAGTTTCTGTGGTGACAATTCTTTCGGTTGCCTAATAGTAATATTATTGAGCGGAGTGGTTTCGTGGAAACGATTATTTCTTTCTTTAAACACCTCTTCAAATTCACGTATATCTCTGATTAAGTCTACTTCTTGTATATGTGGATTGCTTAATAAAATATTACAAAGTTCCCTTGATAACAATCCTACACAGAGCATTTTTTTGGTTTCTAACGCTGATAATCCCAAACTACGACATAGTCTTAGTTTATCATGAAAATATACGTGTACCGACTCACCCTTTTCTTGCACTCGACTGTCCATGCGTCTCCATTTTTCCGTCAAACTCAATTCAGACATAAACATGGCCTTAAATAAGGTTTCAAAAGTCGACCATTGGTCTATTTCAGTCTGTCTTGATATAAACCAGTTTTTTGCCGCTCCTTCTAAATTTGATCGAACCGCTTCTAATTTGTACTCATCCGGCCAATTGTGCAAATGTGCGATTGTATTAATTGCTTTGAGCCATTCTTCAGCCACCGCACAATCGCTACTTTCCCCATTGAAACGTCCGATGTTCTGTTTTAAATCTGGAACCATATTGAACTGTATGCCGGTTCCAAGTCGATCTAATACTTTTTCCAAATTTTTGTCTCGTTGCGCATTTTGTTCAATTATCATCCGCATTAGCTCATGAACTCCCGTTTGAGTTAATCCTTTATCCTCGATAGGCATTGTGCATTAATAAATACCCAGTACGATTAATGTCGGCTTAACTTCGTGATAACGGCCTGAACGTATATTATGTTTATCTGATAAGATACTGACAACTCGCACGTTTACCGTTACCGCGTTAATGTACCGTGGCGTGACCACAACTCCACCGTAGTACAACCGTTCTGAGCGACACTAGATCTACTAACCTCTCTAACATGTGGATACGAAATGATCGTACATTCGTATTTGATAACTATCCCACTTCTGATATTAAGTTATATATACATTTATTCAGCAATTGAACAATTAAAAAAAAATAAACACAAATTAATAACAACTCATCAATGTGTAGATTATTTTAAAGAAACTAATTAAAAACTGTACGTATTTCTACGACCGCACTCACTGAACACTGGCACCTCTGGCTGACTAGTGTCTTCTCCTGGCGGTGAACATCCCCCCCCTTTATGTATAATTTAAATGATAACANTAACCTAATACACCTAACTTTAAAAATCTTTAATTGCAACCTTTACTCTGTCTGCCGGCGCGATGTTCGTGAGAACAAAGACATTAAACCAAAAATGATTAGCTATCCAATAAGTATAGAGTTGCAATACACTTAGTCATATAATAAATATTTTCCATTAACTGAGAAAATTAGAGTTAATTCGGGTTTATAATATAAAAAAAAATAATTAAAAAAAAAATGTTTGAGGTTTAACATATCAATTGACATTTATTTCCACGATAAAATAAAACATTATTATTTAATGAACAAAATTAAATCAAATTAAAAGATTCACCAAAACAAAATTCACTTTAAAATCTCTAAGTGTCATTTAATTAAAAAAAAAATATATTCTAAGTCCAAATAAATTAAAAAAATGACTAAGTCCCGAAGAGTAAGAATCTTGAGTAATGGTCGCAGATTTTGTGTATTTTAAAATCGCCGAAAGAACTGATTTTAATAGGAAAAAATGGGTTTTTATAGTAGACGAGGGTCGTGTAGCGATCCATGTGATCTCAGAAACTGTAGATCTTAATTAATAGTTATATGTGATTGGCTGTAGCTAATTAAAAACCCACACATAGGCGTTACTTTGAATCAGTACGATAATCAGATTTAATTGTCTAATTTATTGATTATTTTAAGTTTTAAATAAGGGAACCCTGTTTTGGTGATCTTGTGAATTCATAATATATGACATACATGTACAAAAGATAACATAATATAATATTTTAATATTACAAGTGATAATATAATATTACTTTATCCTGCTTCTGTCATGATTCTGATCGTGCTAGAGGGCACATTTTTGTTGTTTTCTTGTACCAATTTGATCAATGATGGTGTAGAGCCGCGAACTACCAATCATATTATAATTATATTTATGTAATGAGCTGTATTTTTTTATTTTATTATAAATTAACTAAATTTTATTTATGTGTGGAAAACACGTGTTTCCTCTGTCTTCTAGCCAACGCTAAAGAGCGAGTGTTCAGACCACTTCTAGAATTATTCATTAATTTCCGATTAACATTAACGGATGTGTTCCAATACCGTCCATGATGTTTGTTATATTATTTGATTTTGTTTAAATATTTTATTTTATTTTTGTTGCCTTTCTTTGTAGACATGGTTTTTAATACATTCGTATTTTTGTCCATGTTTAACTTAATTTTCTTTTTTAACAATTAAATTTAATTTCCTTATTAGTTTTAACTTTTATATTTATTTTATGCGCGATTAACTTAAGTACACGCGTATATTATATCCTCATTCCTTAATCTAGACACGGGATACGGTATGGTTTTATTTATCAACCACTTACAACTTCAATTATCATAGTTGTGGTTAATAGGGGGAACTATGGTCACCTTAACAAAAATTGTTATTTCTATGGTTCTAAGACTAAATGTTATGCTATTACAACAAATTAATGCAAAAACATATTGATTGGATTATGTCAAAGTCTTAGATTTTTAAAACATAATCTTATATACATAAATATATATAGAGTGTTCAATAAGTACAATGAAACACAGATTTTTTAGATCCGCTATTGATTTTTTAATAATTTTTTTTTTAGAGACTTATTGAATAATTAAATACATGCATTACGATTAAAATTAAAGTTTAACCCTAATGCAAATAGGTAGAAATCTACCCTAACTTAAGAAATTTAAATGGCAACCATTACTCTTTTTTAAATTTTCGGTTAGGAAAAACATTATATTTTATTTGACAAAGTACACCATAAACTCTTATCAGTAAAATTAAAATATTTTGGATTAAATGCTCATTTTTCAATTGGATTAAATCTCATTTAGTTAATCAGACTCAAATCGTAAAATTGCCTTCAGTTATTTCAAATGATATTAAAGTACACTCTGGGGTGCCACAAGGTTCTCATTTATGTCCTTTGTTATTTATTTTATACATAAATAACTTGCCTAGTATTTTCGATATCCCTATAAATATTTTATTGTTTGCTGATGATGCTAAAATATTTACGGTTATTAATTAAATGCGTGATTGTATTAAATTACAGTTAAACATTGAAAAACTATTTAAATGGAGTGTTACAAATGAGTTACTTCTGAACTTATGTAAATGTATAGTTATATCATTTTTCCGTCAAAAAGATCCCATTTTTTACTATAGTAACAAACTATAGTTTGTGTAATTCCAGTTAACTAGGGTTGATTTCATAAGAGATTTGGGAATAATTTTTGAGGATAATCTTTCCTTTACTAGACATATAAATTTGTCAGTCAATAATGCTTTTAAGAGTTTGGGTTTTCTTAATAGAAATACTAAATATTTTAAAAACATAAATACTTTAAAACTGTTAAATTTTTCTCTTGTCAGATCAAAGCTTGAGTTTGGTTCTTTAGTTTGGTCTCCTAATTATGCTGTTTACATTAATTTATTAGAAAACGTCCAACACAAGTATACGAAATCTATTTGTTTTAAATTGAATATTAATCTTTCTAAGGAATCATATTATTTACATTCAGTTAGGTATTACATCTTGTTAACTTAGAAGAAGAGTTAGTGATCTTATGTTTTTATATGACTTACTAAATGGTTATGTAGATTGCCCCGAGTTATTTTCAATGGTTGGCTTTAGAACTAGTCAAATTGTTACGAGAGTAACAAATAGAATAAAATAAAATAGTATTGCCGAATAATTAATTAGTTTATTAAAAATAAAAGTGATAGTATTCATACAATAATTGTCAAATGACTGACGATGCTCTGCATTACAATCGTCGCAGTCGGCCCACTTCCCGGTTTTGCAACACCGAAAAATACTTTATAAACACATTCTTTTAGGCCGACCTCAATTACAATTCAATTTATGATTATCTGTTATTACAATTGTGGGACAATATTAAAA